TTGAGGATTTTCTTCCAATAGTTCGTGCATCATGAACAGTGAGTGATCTGCTTGCTACAGTATTTTTCTCTGTGCATCCGTCTTCAGCGTCTCTGGCCTCTGTTAATGGCTGTTTATAGACTTCATATTTTCACATAAATGACATTTTCGAAAATGATTGCATTGCAATGCAGTTTGTGCAAGTCCAGAACAGAGACGAGCTGCAATAAGACAAAAAACAGCCGATTGCCGATCGCGTAAGTTCCAGGGGAAGCTCAAGTTCGGCCGTCCTACACACGTTTCAGAAAGGCGGGGCATAGAGGAGAAACAATAATGTACAGTATGTGGAAAATAATGTGTTTTTTGAACCTTAAACCGCATAAACACATTTCATTACACCAAATACACAAAATAATGTTCTTTTTAGCAGCATCATATGACCCCTTTAAGTGCATACCTTCCTGCTTGGCAAGGCTGCTAGATTATTTTGGGGTCTTACATATCAGGTTTAGGAGGCTGTGCGTATTAGATTTCCATCGATATTCTTTATGGTGGTTTTCTCAAATTCATGCCCTAACAATATGCAAATTGGAGACCCATTCTAACCCTATTTGGCAGTGTAATTCTCTACCTCGTCTCTACCTCATCTTGTGTGCTATGAGAGCACAGCCTTGTCTTCTTTTGGTCTTTCTTGCATGCGATTTCTCTCTGTCAGCTCATCTTTAGCTGATCTCTCAACCCTGTTACCACTGCCGCTGGTGCTGTTACCATCAAAACACATTTATCACCTCTGCCAAGTGCCAACCTGCCAGCTGTCGGAGTCACTGACAGAGCCCAGGGGAGAGTTATGAGTGTTTAGATGAAACGGGATGGAGCTGTATATCAATGAAACAGCAGAGGAAAGAGCCCAGACAGCAGTGGTCTTTAAATACAGGTTATAGGAGGAGATGGACGTAGTGTATATGACATACAGTTTTGCATATTATGCTCTAGGGTTGAATGATATAGTTAAAAGTCTGTGTGTTTGTGTGTAAAATGATGTATAAAAATGTGTAAAGCCTTTAATGAAGTAGATATGATCAATTATTATTTTTTCCCCCACTTACAAAGCCAGCACAACATAAAAGTTCAGGTGGGGAAAGATTGCATTTAGTGAAGGAAAAAAAAACCTTTTTGTTTGCTGTTTAAAATAATGTGCAAAATCATGATTATCAATTTTTACTTTATTTTATGTTGTCTTTAAGGATTTTCTTTCTGATACCGGCCAGTGGCTTGTCTTTGTATTATGTTTTTCCTTGTTCTTATTTTTTAAGACTTTTAACTCTTCTGTCTTTTCTCAGTTTCATGACCACCACATTTGTTATTGAAGCCATGGCTGCTGCCAATGCCCAGCTGCGCTGGAAGAGGAGAGAACAGGAAGAGGTTAGTGACTGTATCAGTTTAATGCCAGCTCTACTCTGAACATTATGTTCTTATTCTGTCTCAGGTCATTCCCTATGAAAATTTCACTGATCATGCAAATGTTGCACGTCCCACTGCAGGTAATCAAGCCAGAAAGTCAGTGAAGCTTTAAACAAGACTGACCTATCAGAGAATGAAACGGGGCAATTTAGGACAGAAGTGCTAAAATAGAGCTATTATGTGTTGAAGAAAACTCACAATGAGGCCACTGCTAAGTACATTTCTAGTCTGTTTTACCAATACAAATAGAAAACATCTCTGGCAAACAATCTTAGCCTATAAAACTCTAAAAGCAAAATGTTTATATTTAATAGATGATCTCTTAAAAGGACAGTTCACCAAAAATGAAGATGTTATCATTCACGCTCCCTCATGTTGTTCCAAACCTGTATGTCATTACCTCACAAAAGAAGTTAGGCTGAATGTTCACCATACAATGAAAATCAAAGGGGATGAGTGCTGTAGAGCTCCAAAAATAACCTAAAAAGCACCATAGATGTGAAAAACTATATTCAAAGTCATCTGATGCCATAAATTACAGATCAAACGCTAGTTCAAAATACAGTAAAAACAGTAATGTTGTGAAATATTATTACAGGTGAATATGTTTATTACTGTTTAATAAACAGTAAAATGTAATTTATTCCTGTGATGCAAAGCTGAATTTTCAGCATCATTACTCCAGTCTTCAGTGTCATGATCCTTCAGAAATCATTCTGATGTGTAAACTGTGATACATTTCTTTCAAGATTCTTTAGTGAATAGAGAGTTCAAAAGAACAGTAATAGTAAAGGCATTTATAATTTTACAAAAGATTTTTCTCAATTTAATCCACCCTTTCTAAATTAAAATATTCAATTCTTTCAAAAAAAAGAAAAGAATTACAGACCCCAAACTTTTTGGTTTTTGGTTGTAAGCATGTTTTTTTTAGAATGATTAAACTAACCATTTTTGTGGTCACAACCATTTTAAGGTTAATGACAGCGACTCCAGCTCGGACTATTCGGATGACGAGGTTGTCATCCGGGGACGTTCGGAACCCGTCGAGACGCGGCCCATTCTCTCTGTCCGTAAGTGCTGTTTGTATTGCTTTGTGTCTTTGTCAATATAATTGTTTGCAGTGTTACTCGAGATCAAAATCTTAAGGTCACCGTTGGTTTTGTCATCTGATATAACAGAGCGTGCCGCGAATATAGACCACTTTGACATTGTCGAGAGAGTTGAGATGGGACAAATGGCCTCCATGTTTTTTAATAAAGGTAAGAGTTCTTGCATCATTATGCACTACTATGTAATCTTCAGTTAAGACATTTAGCTTTATAAGGCTATTAAACAGGCCTTAAAAGATGGCTTCCGAAGGTCAAGTTTTGCTGGAATCTTCAGTCACAGTGAACAAGGCTATTGGCTGCTAATGTGGTGTAATTAGAACTAGTTTAATTACTTTTGGTTGTAATTACCTCACTCTAGATCTGTTATCTACTCTTATGTAAGGAAAGGGGAGGCTTGCTTAAAGACGGAGAACCCAGGTAATGAGAATCTTATGATGAATACGAAGAAGACGTGTTCACCTTGAACTACGTACCAAGGTGTCATTTATACAGATTCCTATTTTCAGGATTCTTGCCCTCCCAAGCATCATTTCACGAGCGGCGCTACGCAAAGGCTGACTCAACAGTGCCCAGAGCAGCCTTGTAATATCTCAACAGCATTGCTTTTGGCATCTTTTCCAACCATCAAGCAAAGGAGGGACATTAGAAATGGCTTGCTGCACTGTTCCATACAGGGTTGGAAATTTAACTGGGGCTTGGGGCCAAAATGCCACTAAAATGAACAAAAATCCTGACAAATTCAAGATAAGGGGGTACAAATGCCTCTACACAATTAAACTGGAGTTCAAAATTAGAGAACAATCTATAAGTACTTGATTGTTTTTTTTTTCTGAAATACTGTTAATGTTAATCGCTCAATACCACAGTTATACTAACGTGTGTGATAAAATAACCAAGGCATTTCAACAAAAGCCTTTATTCTGTGGAAAACACAGTGATCAAAATCAGAGGACAGTAACCACTGTAGCATGATAGAAGATTACAGCTAAAATTTTGGAGGGTTACAGCTGTCAGAAATTAGTAGGAAGTGTAACATCCCTCATTTTGACTTCTGCGGCCGCAGGATATCACTGGTTTCTCACACTGCACTGGTGTGATCTTGGTCCACTCCTCTTCCACTCTCTTCCATAGTTCAGTAACTGTAGTGGGTTTCTTAGCCATGAATTTGTTGCCAAGGATTTTCCAGAGATTTTAAATCAGGTTTAGATTAGGACTCTGGGCCGCTATTTCATTAATTCAACGTTTTCATTAATTCAAGATCAAAGATTTATTTTACAAGTTTTTTGCAGCGTTGAGCATTATAACCAATCACACGCGTTTCTGTTGAGTTTATGGATGCGATGGCCAATCAGAGGTGTTCAGATTAGTCACCGGTGAAGAAGAAATCATCTGAAAATGCAGGCGTTTTGTTCAGGACACATGCTTACTGACTGAATTCTGCACTCTCGCAAATTCTTTCATCAAAAGAGTAGATACGATGTAAACCAGTTTAATTTTGCAGTGTAGACACAGCTTCAGTGACTATAACGGGAGTTTTTCTGAGAGTGCATAGCTCATCGACTGCTTCAGTGAGCTGGAATGTTCTTTGCTCGCTTTCTGTATTTAATTTATTCCCAGTTTAAATAACTGTTTTGTTCTTCAAACTACTAAGTTAACCAATATAAAGTTTAGATTTTCTAATGCGTAAAAAGTAAACTAATTTATAGACTATTCTTAACTTATGTCTGTGTAGCCTTACAAGAATATGATGAGCCGTTTTCCCACTCATAAAAACATTTTTATGTATTCTATTAATCAAAATTTATAAGCATTATTAGATGCTTTATTACAAGAGCAGTAAACAACAACGATTTTTCATAATGCAGTTCTTCTTTATAATAAATGAAAAAATTATGTAACAAGAATTCATATGCTTTATGTAGGCTATTTGCATCATACAGCATTATGCAGTTGTCGTCTAAATGTGCCACATTTGAGCAGCATTAAACAGATGGTGTAAATAAACATACCATGATCGATGTAGCTTCTGTACCACCTTTGCAGTGTAAATGTTGTTGAGAGAATTTTATTGGTAATAGTCAATAGAATTCTGATTGATTAAAGTAACTGGTTAAATAGTATTTGACATAAAAGGCAACACAGAAACAGTTAGTAAGGTAATTGTAAAAATTGACCTTACAAGGGTAAAAAATGCCCTGGAAATCAATTCCAGGTGGCAAACATGGAAAAGTTCATTTCTGACCCTTGTCCCATACGTCCACAGCATGTGATGGCAAACAGCACCCACTAGGTGGCGCACTCGTCACACCCTCCAGCAAACCAGTGCCACACGCACTCACTTTTGATGAACACAAACACACTCTTGTAGCTTCAAGGCTTTGCGTTTTCTCAGCACGGACGTCACACGCTAGCCCTGTCGACTCTTCGTTATTCTATTAAGCGTGATGTGTTAAAATAGCTTGCTTTGCCCTGACCTTTCCTAGTGCAGAATGGAGTGAAGTGGCCACTTTGGAGGTGCACTTGGGAGAAGCTAATGACTACCTGAGCAGCATAGCAGACTCTGATCATAAATGTATTAAATGGAAGCATAACTCACTGTGAAGGAGATTAGTTTAGTTAGTGTGACTTTAGTATTGACTGTAGCTTTAAATGTAATACTCGTTTGCCCTCCTGTCTTAGGACATGCTGTCTTTTTAATGCTAGTGCAATTGCTAAATGCAGCCTTTGTAAAGGGGGTGATCAATCCATGAGCTGCCATTCAGAGGCAAGAAAACGCAGAAACTACACCAAAATCAACTGTAGTTAGAACCATTAATATATGTGAATGGACTTTAGGATTGTTGAGGCAGGTGGGAGGTTGTTTCTAGAGAAAACACAATCAGCGACTATTTGGTTGCAATTAAGGTGGAATGTGAATCCGCTGTGGTCTGAAATTACTAACAGGAATCCTGGCTTTCGTCGTTTTATCATTGGACAGATTTCTTCATGGCCGCTGGTTTATCAGGGGTGTTCACAGTGACTGTAACCTTCCCACTGACAGGTCAATCAGAAGTCAGCTTCGGATAATGTCACTGAGGAGATAGATTAGTTCGTGATTGATTTTGTTTTTAGGTGTGCTTGCTAAGACTATTACTTTTGGCTCATGATGGGGATTTTTTCAAAACCCCTAACCATAACTTGTTAAACTTTGGTGCATAAATTGTCTTGCACTTGTTATGCTACATGCATGATTGATACCTTAAATCATGTAGCTCATGAAGAAGAGGTGTGCTATTACTTTTCAAAGTGATTAGACTTACGGGTTTCAGCTGGTGGATAAAACTAGAACAAAATCCCTTAGACTTGAGTTGAAGGAAGAACCTGAGCCATATTTAATTTTGCGCATGATCACATTTTCCAATTTTTTTTTTATGTTTAGATTGCCTCAGTTAGTTATTCTTTACCTAAATTCACTTTTTAAAAACAATAGATCTTTATTTTTTTGTGTTTTGATTTTAAATGTGTTTAAAAAAAATAGTGTAGAATTTTAATATATATGTCATTCATCGGTTATCAGCCATAACATGAAAATAATTATTAGCGTATCTAAATCGACCCAAATATGATTTATCATTGCTTTCTTTATTACATTTAAATGTACATATCCCTAATGAAGCAAGAAGTTTGGATTTTAATTCTGAGAAATTGTTCAAAAATAATATAGAAACCTCAGTATTTCTATATTTATAGTAACAGACTCACTTTTTCAATTTTATAAATTTTGTTTAAAAAAATTGTAAAATAAGCACTTCACCTGACTTGGTGTTCATAATTCCCCATGTTTTCTGCCAGGTTTTTGAAACTCATCTTTGTAAAATGAACTGGAACCGGTTTAAAAATTATATTCTTAATTAACCTCAATATTTCAATATTTAAAGTAACATGCTCACCCTTTCTCCTTTATAAGTTTTGCTTTAAAAATTGTAAAATAAGCTCTGCAACTGACTTTTATAATTATACGTTTATAATTTCACATGTTTTCTGCCAGCTTTTCGCCACTTATTTTCGTAAAAATGAACTGGTTCTGACAGCAACATTTGCTGTTTCTTTTATTTGGAGGGAATAATGACTCAATTAAGCTTGTAAAAGAGTATATTGTAATTCTTTCTTTATTTAAATCTAGTTTTAATAGTCTGTTAGCTCTAGTGGACTTCAGAGTAATTAATGAGCTTATTGGTTGGCTGGACCGTTCAAGATCCTCATAGGAGCTTCGGTGATGATGAATGTATGATATGGTATGTGTTTCCTCTTGAATGCTCTCCATCTCATCTCCAACTGGCAGGGATTGAGTGATGGATGGATGGAGGAACAGGTGAAGAGGAGTGTGGGGTTAATGAAGGGAAGAGCAGGGGGGAATTTCGTAATGAAGTGCTTGCTTTTTTAATTAGGATGATTTATACGGCTGTTATGTGGCTCCATGCATTTAGTGGGTATAAAGTGTTGGGGAGGAACAACATTAGAGGAATCTTCTAGGGAATGATGCCGCCCATCTTCATGTTCAGTCAACATCTCCACCTGTTTGTATTTGAAGTGATGTTTTATGTAAAGCCATGAATCTTTAGAATGACAGATGATGCTTCTTTCGCAGTTGGCGTCAACATGTTCTACATCTGTCTCATCGTGTACCTGTACGGAGACCTGGCCATTTATGCCGCTGCTGTACCTGTATCATTGATGGAAGTTGCATGGTGAGTTAATTTTTCATTGAATCTGTCTGCTATTTTATCTCAGTGGTTTGTACAGACAAATTGCAAGCAAAAATCATCAGACAATGTAGCATTTACTAGATAGGCCTTTAGAGTTTGAATCTGTCTTTTAGTTTTCCTGGTTCAAGTGTGTATATATATAT